TTTCGATCATAGTAGGCTATTTTCAAAAAACATATTGATTTTATATCTATATTAGCATTCTTTATCATTTATAATACCTAGATATGTTTTAAAATGCAATTTAAAGTATTTTTGGTTTCGAACATAGTAGGCTATTTTCAAAAAACTTATTGATTTAATATCTATATTAGCATTCTTTATCATTTATAATACCTAGATATGTTTTAAAATGCAATTTAAAGTATTTTTGGTTTTGATCATAGTAGGCTATTTTCAAAAAACATATTGATTTTATATCTATATTAGCATTCTTTATCATTTATAATACCTAGATATGTTTTAAAATGCAATTTAAAGTATTTTTGGTTTCGATCATAGTAGGCTATTTTCAAAAAACATATTGATTTTATATCTATATTAGCATTCTTTATCATTTATAATACCTAGATATGTTTTAAAATGCAATTTAAAGTATTTTTGGTTTCGAACATAGTAGGCTATTTTCAAAAAACTTATTGATTTAATATCTATATTAGCATTATTTATCATTTATAATACCTAGATATGTTTTAAAATGCAATTTAAAGTATTTTGGTTTCGATCATAGTAGGCTATTTTCAAAAAACATATTGATTTTATATCTATATTAGCATTATTTATCATTTATAATACCTAGATATGTTTTAAAATGCAATTTAAAGTATTTTTGGTTTCGATCATAGTAGGCTATTTTCAAAAAACAAATTGATTTTATATCTATATTAGCATTCTTTATCATTTATAATACCTAGATATGTTTTAAAATGCAATTTAAAGTATTTTTGGTTTTGATCATAGTAGGCTATTTTCAAAAAACTTATTGATTTTATATCTATATTAGCATTATTTATCATTTATAATACCTAGATATGTTTTAAAATGCAATTTAAAGTATTTTTGGTTTCGATCATAGTAGGCTATTTTCCAAAAACTTATTGATTTTATATCTATATTAGCATTATTTATCATTTATAATACTTAGATATGTTTTAAAATGCAATTTAAAGTATTTTTGGTTTCGATCAAAGTAGGCTATTTTCAAAAAACATATTGATTTTATATCTATATTAGCATTCTTTATCATTTATAATACCTAGATATGTTTTAAAATGCAATTTAAAGTATTTTTGGTTTCGATCAAAGCAGGCTTTTTTCAAAAAACATATTATTTTTATATCTATATTAGCATTATTTATCATTTATAATACCTAACCCACGTAACCAAAATCCCATAGATGGACGATACATGTATTACGCGAATATATTCCATGTATAGTCCACGCGTATCATCCATGGATGATACATGGAACGATATTGTCCTATGGAGATGGATGATTTCATGGACGATTTGTGGACGTTCCATGTATAGTACATTGGGTAATACAAATGTACTACTTTATGTGTTTTTAATGGATTGATGCACCTGAAAAAAATATTGCTTAAATTTTATTAATTAATTCATATTATTGTATGAATGAATGAATGAATGAAAGAATACATGCAGGCCTTTATGGCATCATACACATGTATTCTTTTTATTATAGACCTTACTGGTCGTTCGATAACATTTGACAAGTATAATTTTTGCAAAATCAAGTATATAAATAAATTTGATACGAAAAAACATAGCTAATAATAATTAACGGCATAAATAAATTTGAATTTGTTTGAGACTGAGATGGGCAGTTCACTTTAACCCAAAAAAAACCGTTACGATAAATTTAAAATTTATGTTGAAGTTAACATTAATGAAAAATAATTAACTTGGTTAATACTCTGATATTTGAGTGTTTCAGATGTGTAAAAGTGATTTGTGATGTATTAAAAGTGAGAGTATTTGCATAAATAAGTTACGGTAAATAAAAAGGTGAAGTAGAATATGCTTAACACATGAAATTAGTGTTATTTAGTAAATCTTCTACATGTTTAAGCAAATAAGTCTTGACAGCTCGTTTGAAGGCATTAAGTTGATTTAGTTCCTTTAATTCGGATGGCAGGTTGTTGTAAATGTTGATTCCTCGGCAAGTTACATCGTTTTTCATAACATTTCTTCTATACATTTGCGGTTTTAGTAAATTGAGACGATTTGTTCGTTGTTTCTCGATTGGAAGTCTTTCAGGTGATGTAGAAATCAGGTTTCTTTTGATAATGAGTAAAGTTGAGTAATAAATGATTCCTTTTACAGTTAAGACATCAGGTGCATGGAGAGTGAATAGATCAGTCGTAGGACATAGAATTGGAAGTTGGTAGATCAGCTTTAATGCTCGATTTTGAAGACGTTGAAGTCTTTTAAGATCACCTTCAGTGCATCTTAGTAGAATAAAGCTGCAGTACATTAAGTGACTGTGTATATGGGCGAAATAGAATTGTTTTAGTGCTGAGAATGGAAGCTTATCCTTCATGTAAAATAAAGCTCCGATTCCTTGATTCATCTTCGTAGCCAAGGCATCTACATAACTTCCAAGTTTTAGTTCATCATCAATAATAATGCCGAGATAAGTCATCTCGTTTACGTATTGAAAGCCAGCACTATTAAGCATAATTTTTATATCTACCATTTCAGGTCGTCCGAGACACATATAAAAAGACTTATTGCAATTTATTTCAAATCCATTGTCGCGATAATATTCAACAAGTTCATTCAATAGTTGCTGCAAACGGAAGGAATTCTTGCCATCATCATCGTCTTTATCAACTAGGAATACTACGACAGCATCATCGGCATATTTTATTATTTTTGCATCAGTCTTCAGATTCTTCATGTCAATGAGCATAAAATTAAAGAAAGGTGGACCGACAAGGCTTCCCTGTGCAATACCTTCATTTATTTGTTTGGAACAGCTTTTAGCAGAATTAATTTGGACAAATTGACATCGATGTGATAGGTAACTTTTAATCAAGTCATTTGATGCACCTCTAATTCCCATAAACTCCAATTTTCTCAGTAATATATTGTGTTTCAATGAGTCAAATGCCTTCGATATGTCAAGTGAGAGAAGAACAATTCCATTTCCTTTATCCACTTCCTTTGAGACATTGAACATCACTTGGCATATTGCATCATGACATCCTCTTCCACTTCTAAAACCGAACTGCAAGTCGTCATATAAATTGTTACTTTCAAAAAAATCATCCAGCTGCATAAAAATAACTTTTTCGAATACTTTTGAAACAATTGGTAATACAGATATTTGTCTATAGTTTTCAGGATCCGTTTTAGAACCTTTTTTGTGGATTGGAATTACTTTGGCCACTTTTAATGCATCCGGAAATTCGCTGTCATTTATCATTCGATTGATCATATAACACAGCAAAGGACATGCCTCATCAGCAATTGATTTCAGAATTCTAGGAGTTATATTATCATAACCAGGTGATTTCTTCATATCAAGTGAAATTATGAGATCAAAAATTAGCTGCTCACTGACATTATTGAATTGAAATGTGTTTTTCACGTAGGGACCTCTGTGAATTATTTGGATTGGATTATGATTTTTGTTGAACGATGTAATGAAGAAATTTTGAAGTGCATTGGCAACGTCCTCATCATCATGAAGCGTGGTTCCATTGGATACAATCGTGAGTTTATTTTGTGTTTTAGTTTTTCCACACATATCATTTATAACTTTCCACGATTGCCTCGGATTATCATAGATTAAGCCATTATAGTATATGTAGGATTTTCTAATTTCCATTTCTTTCTTTTGTTCTGTCAAATTAGTTAAGTTGAATATAAGAATGTCACAAGATTTCTGTTGACTAGCTAATTTCCATACTTTTTCTTGCACGTTATGTAAATGGTTGCAAAGACTTACATATTCTTTGTCCACCCATTTTGGGAGTTGAAAATTAGCGTCTCTTGTTTTTAAACAAATTGTTTGACAATTTGTGTCATAGATTTCCATCATGGTGCTCATAATTTCATCACAATTTTCATTCAGGGGTTTGTTTTCTTTTGGATTGTATTCTCTTAGGAATTCCTTTAATTGCTTTACGGTGTTATTATTATTATTAATCAATTTTTCCAATTTTTGAACTCCATTGTTTGATGAAATTTTTATATCAAACATTGCTGTTCCCATTAGCAGATTGTGATCAGAATACGGTGTTTTTGGACTCGTGAGCGTAACATTTTTTATGGTATCAGATATCAAAACATTGTCCAATATTGAACCGCTTGTGGAGTCTGATGAGCCAAATTGAAAGTAACTAAATGTTGTCGCGTTATTACTTCTTTCGTATCCATAAGAATGAAACAGGTCAGCATAATCTTTATATTTATTATTATTCTCTCTTATATTCATATCACCTGCAATTATGAGTCTTTTGTCGTAAAGCTGTAAAATTTCCTCAAGATTTTTTAGAAATTCATTAATATTGCTACTAGGCGGGCGGTAAAGTGCAAGAATATAGAAATCATAAGACGTGTTAAGCTCAAGTTTGACAAGGACGTACTCGATTGACTCGTTATAACACGTTTTGATTAAAGTGCTTGTAATTTTGTTTTGAATATAAACTGAAACTCCTCCACCTTTTTTTTTGTTTCCTCTCGTTATGCTGTATTGCTTATAATTTAGAATGTTGAAAACTTGAAACTTCCCAGAGGTTTTGATCCACGTTTCTGTTAGGAGGATAATATGCGGTAGGATTTTATTGTGTACTCGACCATGTAATAAGGATGTTAAGTAATTGAATTTTGAGTCATTGAGGCAGTTGATGTTCCATACCCAATAATATAAGTTGAAGAATTTTGCGTTTGATATATCAGTAATTAGTTTTGCCATTTTAGATATCATTTCATCAATTGGGATGTTAGATTGAGACATTTGATTGAGATTATAAACATTCATTTCTATATTGTTTAAGGCAAAGTCGTCATCATGATCATTATTAATTAAAGTTTTATTTTTATTTTCCAGTTTATTGACATTTCGCAAAGTTTTCAGTGATTGACCATCCTTATTAAGTGTCGAGAGGGATTGTCAGCAATCCATTTTGTCATCAGTTTCGGTTTCATCTTGAAAATCATCGGATCTACGCGCGTCTCTATCCGCAAAACTCATTATAAAGTAGTTATTGTCGTACAAAGTGGTTGAGCTTATTTCTGGATAAATATCACCGACAATCTTTCTTAATTTATCAATGTCTTTGAAGCATGTGATGTTTATACTACTTGATGTAAATTCTGAGCCTGATGCTGCTTGGACTTTATATTGGACACGAATACCTTCGGCATGTACGTTTACATAATCCACTAATTTTAATCTTTTTAATTCCCAGCATATCTTCAGAATCTTCCAAACATCTCGAGACCAGTACACTCTTTCACTGTATCTCAGTTCATCTAGTCGATTTTCTTCATCAAGGGAAGAGTTAAATGTCATCATCTTTCTACGGACAATAGATGCAATTTTTTCATTGTTGAACGTGACACAAAGCGAAGGAATTACAGATTTATCAGTTTTTATATGTTGAAAGTTTACTGCTCGTATGGGGAGAATTCCAAGACGATCAATATCAATGTCCATTCGTCTAAAGATTAATTTAGTCTCGTTGATAAGATCACCACTTGTTTTCAACTGCTCTAGCTCCTTATCACATGTGAAGGTAATCCATATTTTGTGTAAATCCTTGGAACATGTCATTTTTGTTTCCACACTTTGGATCCTGTCTGAATTAGACATGATCAAAGTATCTCTTCTTATGTTGCTTAATTCGAGGTCTTTTTGTAGCGCTACTAGTTTCAATAGATTTTGTTGAGTCGTTTCATGTAGAGAGCAGATGTTATCATTATTTAATTGAATTAACGAGCATAACTTACTTATTGCTTCATTGACATCACCATTTTTGTTGGCTAAGGTAAGCACATCCTTAATCTCATTATTAAACTTTTCTTTCATTTTAGGGATGTTCAGCAAGCTCTCGGAAATTTCGACATTAAGTTTCTCTGTTTGGTCTTGAATAATAGAACTGACTGGGTCTGCATTATGGGTTTCCTGATCATCTACGATATGGATTTGTTTTGAGGTAGTTGGTGTGAAGCCATATGTAATTAATTTTCGATTGAGATTGCGATTCTTATCAAAGTTGTTTGCTGCTTTGTTTTTCCTGTCAACCTTTGACGCATTTATCCTTTTAATTCGACGTTGAATCGGCGTTGGTGGTGCTGGAAGTTCAGTCTTGTGGGACTGTTGATACTTAAATAATCTATTTGATTTACCTCTGAGGCTTTCAGGCTGAGTGTTACTACCAGCGTGATCATTTGTTGTACTCATGGTGTTATCTTATCGTGAGGTTAAAGTCAATATGACTCAATAAATTAGTCGATATGACTGAATTATTAGTTCAATATGAACTCAGTAAATATGTGACAATTAAGTCACTTTTGTTGTTCAGTTGACAATCAAGTCAACCTTTTTTGAACCTTGACAATTAAGTCAAGGATTTGATGGTCTGTGATAATTAAATCACTTTAATTTTGTTGATAATTAAATCAACGGTTTATTGCCGTTACAAAGTGACAATTAAGTCACTTTTGTTGTTCAGTTGACAATCAAGTCAACCTTTTTTGAACCTTGACAATTAAGTCAAGGATTTGATGGTCTTTGATAATTAAATCACTTTAATTTTGTTGATAATTAAATCAACGGTTTATTGCCGTCTGAGCTATTGAATGTCGACAGGTTCACGATGAAATCCGTTAAAATTCGTATGTTTCAAGTTGACAGGACAAATTCACCACTGAGACAAAACCTCAATTCACCATACACGTGACACAATGTTTTTATTCACTGGATTCTTTTGTCTTTTTGTTTAATGCGAATTTCTTTATTCATACGATGTTTATTTAATTAACGATTTTTGATTTTTGCAGATGCGCGTACCGTGAGATTATTTCTTTATATCTAGTTCATTAAAATGTTCGATTTAAGTGATCAAAATTGATTTATTTCAAGGTTCTATGGTTCATTTATTTGTGTTCGATATTTTTCCACTTTAGTTAATTTACAGAATCCTTTTTAATTTGTTCTTGACGTTTTTCTTTAAGCTTACACTAAAGCGAATCACTCTATTTACTTTCCAACATTTAACTATTACACGATTCTCGAAAAATTAATAAATTTAAATAAAAATAAGTGATGATATTCAAATCTTTTGAAATATATATCCTTTACACTATTTACTTTACTACTCTTTATTAATTTAAAAATTTGCATAAAGTTATGCTAACAACACTCAAACATAAATTAAACTACAAAAAAACAGCTGGATTTCTAAAAAATAGAGAAATAAAAAAATGATTAAAATCCTGAAAATTAAAATTAAAAAATACTTACAATACCTATAAATAATGAAAAGAAAAGGGAATGATAATTAAATGATTTTAAGATGTCTAAATCATCTCAAGTTTTTGTAAATTTTCAATATTAAAAACTCATTTTTTACTTACCTTAAACATAACTTTATGACTTATTACACATTCTTTACCATTTTTTTCGTCAATTCATCACCATTTAAACATTAAATTACTTTTTAAATTAATTTTTCACTTCATATTATTTTTTCTAAAACACATTTCACAATGTAAACAAACAAGAAAAAATACAAAAGTGTTTTTAATTGTCCGAAGGACCAGATTTTGAAAATATTACATAGATGTAAGGTGCGCGCAGTTCGTTTAGACGCACTTAATTTTTTTCAAATTTTCCTTTAATAAACACTATTAAGACAAAAACTATTTTATGTGTTTATAGCTATGACCAATTAGGTTATAAATATAATAAAAGTATCTGACTAAATGCTTTGCTTAAGTAATTAAAATAATTTTTTCAAAAATTACAACAACAAAGTGCGCAGTTCGTTTAGACGCACTTTGAAAAATCTAAAATTTTGTCTTATTTACGTTTCGTAGAAAACTTAATCGTTTCTAATATTAATCTATCAACAAAAACGAGTAATTACTGAGGGTTTTAGAATTTTCCATCAAGTTTTTCCAGAGATTTTCCTTCATTAAAGTTTTCATGTTGCAAAAATTTTGATAAATTATTTATCCAATAATTTTGCGTTAAATTATTATTCTTTTAACTGATTTCCATAGATAATTGTCCATAATATTAGAAAATTAACAGATATTTAAGCTTTCTTATAAGTATAAGGCGAAAATATGTGAAAAATATAATTATGGTGAAAAATTTCCACCACTCTCATAGATTAATCAACAAATTTTGACAAAACTGTAGATACCATAATAAATTTGAATAGACCAGCTTATTTATCGTATTAAACTTAGTTAAAAACAGAAAACTGCACAGCTCTATGGCTAATGGAACTTGAAAATTTTACTGAAAAATTAAGTTGTGGTGAAAAAATTTCACCATAGAAAAATAAAATTTTAAAAAACGTTGTTTTAGGCAATTGTTTCATTTAAATTAGGTTGTAAAAGTGTTTCTGTCTCAAAATTAATCAATTTAAAACATGAATTAAAACCTTAGACATTGTTTTTTTAAAATTTTATTTTTCTATGGTGAATTTTTTCACCACAACTTAATTTTTCAGTAAAATTTTCAAGTTCCATTAGCCATAGAGCTGTGCAGTTTTCTGTTTTTAACTAAGTTTAATACGATAAATAAGCTGGTCTATTCAAATTTATTATGGTATCTACAGTTTTGTCAAAATTTGTTGATTAATCTATGAGAGTGGTGGAAATTTTTCACCATAATTATATTTTTCACATATTTTCGCCTTATACTTATAAGAAAGCTTAAATATCTGTTAATTTTCTAATATTATGGACAATTATCTATGGAAATCAGTTAAAAGAATAATAATTTAACGCAAAATTATTGGATAAATAATTTATCAAAATTTTTGCAACATGAAAACTTTAATGAAGGAAAATCTCTGGAAAAACTTGATGGAAAATTCTAAAACCCTCAGTAATTACTCGTTTTTGTTGATAGATTAATATTAGAAACGATTAAGTTTTCTACGAAACGTAAATAAGACAAAATTTTAGATTTTTCAAAGTGCGTCTAAACGAACTGCGCACTTTGTTGTTGTAATTTTTGAAAAAATTATTTTAATTACTTAAGCAAAGCATTTAGTCAGATACTTTTATTATATTTATAACCTAATTGGTCATAGCTATAAACACATAAAATAGTTTTTGTCTTAATAGTGTTTATTAAAGGAAAATTTGAAAAAAATTAAGTGCGTCTAAACGAACTGCGCGCACCTTATTACACATGGACTATACATGGAAGAACCATTTATGTAGTACAAAAGTAATACACAATGTACTATTTTGTGGAAAGTACATAAATCTTCCATCGATGTCAATGGAAAATGTATGGAATACTTTGGTTACGTGGGAAATATGTTTGAAAATGCAATTTAAAGTATTTTTGGTTTCGATCATAGTAGGTTTTTTTCAAAAAACATATTGATTTTATATCTATATTAGCATTATTTATCATTTATAATACCTAGATATGTTTTAAAATGCAATTTAAAGTATTTTTGGTTTCGATCATAGTAGGCTATTTTCAAAAAACATATTGATTTTATATCTATATTAGCATTCTTTATCATTTATAATACCTAGATATGTTTTAAAATGCAATTTAAAGTATTTTTGGTTTCGATCATAGTAGGCTATTTTCAAAAAACATATTGATTTTATATCTATATTAGCATTATTTATCATTTATAATACCTAGATATGTTTTAAAATGCAATTTAAAGTATTTTTGGTTTCGATCATAGTAGGCTATTTTCAAAAAACATATTGATTTTATATCTATATTAGCATTCTTTATCATTTATAATACCTAGATATGTTTTAAAATGCAATTTAAAGTATTTTTGGTTTCGATCATAGTAGGCTATTTTCAAAAAACATATTGATTTTATATCTATATTAGCATTATTTATCATTTATAATACCTAGATATGTTTTAAAATGCAATTTAAAGTATTTTTGGTTTCGATCATAGTAGGCTATTTTCAAAAAAACTTATTGATTTTATATCTATATTAGCATTATTTATCATTTATAATACCTAAATATGTTTTAAAATGCAATTTAAAGTATTTTTGGTTTCGATCAAAGTAGGCTATTTTCAAAAAACATATTGATTTTATATCTATATTAGCATTATTTATCATTTATAATACCTAAATATGTTTGAAAATGCAATTTAAAGTATTTTTGGTTTCGATCATAGTAGGTTTTTTTCAAAAAACATATTGATTTTATATCTATATTAGCATTATTTATCATTTATAATACCTAGATATGTTTTAAAATGCAATTTAAAGTATTTTTGGTTTCGATCATAGTAGGCTATTTTCAAAAAACATATTGATTTTATATCTATATTAGCATTCTTTATCATTTATAATACCTAGATATGTTTTAAAATGCAATTTAAAGTATTTTTGGTTTCGATCATAGTAGGCTATTTTCAAAAAACATATTGATTTTATATCTATATTAGCATTATTTATCATTTATAATACCTAGATATGTTTTAAAATGCAATTTAAAGTATTTTTGGTTTCGATCATAGTAGGCTATTTTCAAAAAACATATTGATTTTATATCTATATTAGCATTCTTTATCATTTATAATACCTAGATATGTTTTAAAATGCAATTTAAAGTATTTTTGGTTTCGATCATAGTAGGCTATTTTCAAAAAACATATTGATTTTATATCTATATTAGCATTATTTATCATTTATAATACCTAGATATGTTTTAAAATGCAATTTAAAGTATTTTTGGTTTCGATCATAGTAGGCTATTTTCAAAAAAACTTATTGATTTTATATCTATATTAGCATTATTTATCATTTATAATACCTAAATATGTTTTAAAATGCAATTTAAAGTATTTTTGGTTTCGATCAAAGTAGGCTATTTTCAAAAAACATATTGATTTTATATCTATATTAGCATTATTTATCATTTATAATACCTAAATATGTTTGAAAATGCAATTTAAAGTATTTTTGGTTTCGATCATAGTAGGCTATTTTCAAAAAACTTATTGATTTAATATCTATATTAGCATTCTTTATCATTTATAATACCTAAATATGTTTGAAAATGCAATTTAAAGTATTTTTGGTTTCGATCATAGTAGGCTATTTTCAAAAAACTTATTGATTTAATATCTATATTAGCATTCTTTTTCATTTATAATACCTAGATATGTTTTAAAATGCAATTTAAAGTATTTTGGGTTTCGATCACAGTAGGCTATTTTCA